TATCTTCATGTTTATACAGATGGTGCCAAGACTTCATCTTTCGTCGGTTGCGCCGTATACTCTGAAAGCTTCTCCAAGGTTCAACGACTTGATTGTATCGCCAGCATTTTTACTGCAGAGCTCTATGCGGTATCAATGGCGATTGAATTTATTATCAATAGTAAAATGCTGAGGGCATTCTTGTTTGTTGACTCTCAAAGTGTGATTCTTGCAGTTTGCTCTCTTAAAGATACTAAAAATATGCTTGTACAACAAATTCGATATAAACTTAACTCTGCTTTGCATGGGGGTCAAAATATAAAATTTTGTTGGGTGCCCAGTCACATTGGCATTCATGGCAATGAAGAAGCCGACAAATTTGTAGGGTCTGCCGGGAACCTTCCACAATCGCTCTCCTGTCTACCCTATCAAGATATTAAACCCTTGGTGAAGTCCTCAATTCTTCATTCTTGGCAATTGGAATGGGACATGGAGTGCGATAACGAGCTTCATGTTACCAAACCTTCATTGGGAGTCTGGGAAAGCTCATCATGCAAGAGCCGACTTCATGAAACGTTGTTGTGCCGCCTGAGAATTGGACACTCATTTATAACTCATAGGTATCTGCTTTCGGGAGAAGATCCACCTGTGTGTGATCAGTGTGGTGACAGGCTCACTGTTTTGCATATCTTGTGGCTGTGTCCCGGCCTTCAGCCCAAGCGCCGCATTCATTTCCCTGAATTTTTCCAATATCATATCCCATTTCATCCTGCTCTCCTTGTGGGAGAGAATCCTTTAGTCTCTTTTGAACGGGTAATGGAATTTCTTAGCAGTATTTCCCTTTTACACCGACTCTAGCCTTTTGGTCAATCTTTTGTAAAACTTTTCCTTTAATACAATGATCCTTACAATTAGTTTGGCGCAGATGGCCTCGTAGCTTTTGCGCCATTAACCCCCAAAATCTCTCTCCACTGCGGGTGTCTCGGACTCACGGTGACATGGCGGAACACGTACGACACAGCAAACTGATTAAACTCGTTACACGCGAACTGAGGACCATCATCGGTCACAACGCACTCAGGGATTCCATGTCTAGCAAAAATACTTTTCAGTCTTTCAATGACTGTTCCCGACCTTGTGGAAGGCAAAATGGCAAACCTCAGGGTAACGTGAAAGATAATCAACCGCGACAAGGTATGCCTGGCCGTTGATTACACACAGATCAACTCCCACTCTCTCCCAAGGAAACGATGGTGTTGCGGTTGCCACCATCGGCTCGGCTTGTTGCGGGGCATGTTGTGCGCAAACAGTGCACCGATTCACGGACAGTGCCAGTTAGGTGCTCAACCCTGGCCACCAGACAGAACCTTTAGCAACACTGCGACAACGGCCGATACCCTGGTGCCCATCATGCAGTTTGCGCAGCACTCCTGTTCTTAGAGACTGGGATTACGAGCCGAAACAGGATAATGCTTAACTGTCTCCCAAAAGAAGGTGAAAACACGGAGGCATACGAGTTTCCGGACAATAAACAGCAGTCAAGTACTGCACAGTTGGGTCATAGCACGGACGACTCTGCGACTACGACTCTGCGGCTTCAGCTGCCAAGTACTGCACAATTGGCACATAGCACGGACGACTCTGCGGCTACAGATTCGGCGCCTCCATCTCGCGCGGTAGCCAATGGTGACCCTACTCGCACTGTAACGCGGTTTGGAAGAGTAGTGAAGAAACCCATAAGGCTGGGTATTGATGACTATGTTGTGTTTTTAAGTTCTTTCTTGTATTCTTTGTCTTGTATGTGCGACGGTTTTTTTTTTTTTTTGTTCTCGAAAAAAGAGGGATATGTTGTTGCCTGTTGTCGCTTGCCTATGTTGTTATCGCTGGCCCGTCCGCCCAGCGTCATGACCACGTGATGTTCCCGGCAGTGTATATTATCGGCCCGCTCAATAAACGGAGGCTTTTTGGTTCCTTCATGACCTAGAGCGCAGTTCGTCGTCTGACCTCTTTCCGGCACGCATACGCCCAGTATGCGGTATCGCTACACCGCGCACGCGCAGTGTGGAACGCGCAACGCTAACACAAACGCACAGGGCTTGCGTTCGCTCGTATACGCAATACAAAAACTCACTATTACCTCGGCGTTGTGTCCTTACAAGAATGCCTAAAATAATCATATCACGCGCGCTTGCATTTTCACGTCATCACAGTGGGATCAAGCCAACGTTACTACAGGGTGATATAGGGAGCCGCCAGGCTCTTCAAATCGACCGGAAAATTCGGTTTCTTAACCTTATGGGCTACAACTTTGTGCAGCGTTGCCCACAGATGGTGCATTTATTTTTTGTAAAATTTGCAAAGAGCGAACTTATTTGAGGAAGAAGTAAAGAAATAAAAAATGCTTAGCTGCTATGGAAACGCAGCGACGCCACCGGTTTGCAAACAACACGGCGCCGTTTCGCACGGGAGACAAGAGATGGCGCAACAAACGCCGTCAACGAACGATCATACACGTTGGAGCATACGGCGCCGAAAGCAGGCCTTTTTAGCAGACGATCTTTTCGGCTCAAAAGCGGCGCGCGTTCCGCAGGCGGCGACAGTCGCAGAAACGAAAAAGACAGGCGCGGTAACAGCATGAACTGCAGTTCCTTGCCTGCTAAAGGGACGGCTCTCGGTGTCGTCTGCTTGTTCGTTGGCGGCAGTTGGCGTCGCGACCGCTTGCGCCATCTCTTGCCTCCCGTGCGAAACGGCCCCGTGTTGTTTGCAGACCAGTGGCGTCGCTGCGTTTCCATAGGAGCTAAGCCTTTTTTTCTTCACTTTTTCCTCAGGTAAATTCGCTATTTGCAAATTTTACAAAAAAAAAAAAAAGCACCGTCTGTGGGCAACGCTGCACAAAGTCGTGGCGCGATAGGTTAAGAAACTGAATTTTCCGGTCGATTTAAAGAACCTGGCGTCTCCTTGTATCAACCTGTAGATTGCCAAAGTTGTGGAACCCCCGCGGAAGGGGGTTCCTCTTTCACTCACTTCACTCCGTGCCTCCCGTAGTATTATGCGTCATCTAGATTGCCGTTTCAAAACCGTGTGTTCCATGGAGTATGGTGAAACGCTATCTAGACGCAAAGCTTCGAAACGAACGTATTCCATAGAATACACCGCAGTTATCATAGCAGCCGTCTGGCGCGTCGAAAGACGGGAGGCGAGTCGTGGTCAGTGAGGGGGGTACTGCTCGTGCAAGCAGCGTCTATGAGCAGTTTCGTAACTCAGCTAACTTATAATGTTGGATCAAGCGCAGACACTGGCAACAGTGCCACGTCAGCGTTCTACTGATCCACGTGTCAAGTCGGTGTGTCGAAGGATGCTCGGCGTCGGGCACAAGCCCAACTGCAGAGTTCGTTCCATCCGAGTCTGATGAGTGTACGCGGCGGGAGAAAAGTGTGTTCACAGACTGATCATTCTAGCTAAGCGCGGTCCTTGGCCTACGCCGACAAGTCACTCCTTTGATAGTGACACTCTCGAAACGACTACGTCACTTTTTCATAGCGCTTTCTTATACACTGGGTTCCGGGCGCTCTTTCTTCGTTTAGCTTGGAAGCCATTTGACAAAAAAGGTAAAACTGATTAATGGACCGTTAGCATTTCGAAAATTCTTTAAAAAAATTTAGCCATCTCTTCGTAACTGCTGGCATAACTGAAATTGTTACATCACACGTAAAACAGCTTTAATGAAAGTTTAATAAAAGATTTGACTTAATTATTCTACTGAACGTGACTGTGGTTATCTTATCCAATGTCCGCCGAGCTTGACAAGTAGACGGTGAAGACGCCACTATGTAGCTCTCACCTTTCTTGTTTTAACGTGTTCATGTCTTAATCAAGCACCCTGTATCCGTACAGCTTGACAAGAAATGGGCTTTCTTTTTATTTTTGGAAGACTCCATAGCGAGATAATGAATAATTAAGGGAAATTTGTAACTAAAATTTTAAGTGGCTTCTGTTTCGTGAGCAAGATACATTATTGAAAGAGCAAATACATAAGTTAGGAATGTGTTTTCATTAACTAGATGCGAAATTTAGAACGTTTTCGTTAACAATTACAGTGTTTAACTTTGTTTTATACAACTTTATTTTTTGGTATAACATGTAGACTAAACTAACGACCTTGTGAAGGTTTTGCGGAGTGCCTTGAGGAACGTATTCCTAAAAGGGAGGGCAAGGTAACCTCAAAATACCTTTGCTTTCTAGCATAGGGCCGAAATCGGTTTTGCCAATTTAGCCCGTTTCCCGCTAGATTTCTGGGTTTTCATGTTTGCCTAGCGGGAGAATTGCCGTATTACTGGTGGCGCTATTTCTAGTGGTTTCCAAGTAACGCTACCTTTTTCTACTGGAGTTATAAATTGTTCTATAATGTCTATTCATTTAACCTAAAAAGCTTAGATTCTGTGGTAAATTCGAGTCGAAGGTCGTCATCTTGGCTTACTCTTCTCAAATTTGCTGTCCGTGAGAATTACGCTCGCGACACTATTGATATGTCACAATGGCACACATTGGAGCGTGCTTTAAACTCCTTTGTATTTGGATTTATGAATGCGTTTTTCAAATCTGCCAGATTAAATAAGCACAGAAGGAATGCAAAAAAAAATTAAAAAGGAGGGCTACAGAGTGCCGACAGGTGCCACCCAGGTTGAAAATGCAAGATTGTGCAGTGGACATTGTTATGTGATATGAAATAATCAGAGTCAAAGAATATACTTATTTCTAAGTGTTCCTTGATTTAGTACAGTCATTCTAGTTTAATTTTGGCAGCATGTTATATGAAAACTTATTCTTGCGTGGTGTATGTTATTTGGAGGGTTTTAGTAATACCTTTTGCGGTCTTCGCAATTTTGAGATGGCAGCACTGTCTACAATAAATTTCTTTAATATTACTTATATGGAATACTTACATGTATAAATAGCGACTTAGATATTTTCCTTTAGAGAAAATAGAACCCTTCAGGAAATACTAATTTTGCCCGACTTACCGTGGCTTGGGGCTGCTTCGAACGTATGTCGCCTTGGGGTCATCCTTCAGGAATTTACTGTATCGATGTTTTAGGTATTGTCCGAGATTTAGCATAGTTTTTATACCCCGCTGTGTAAGTTCCCCAAATCCAAGCTCCCAGAGACTGTTGTTTTGATTCGTGTCAGTAGGATATGTCATGAGGGGCGCCCGATCCCCGTGTCGAAAAATACCAAACACAAGGTCGAGTTTCGGAAGTATGGTGTCGTCTTCCATAGCTTTATCGGCAATGCCGTGCTGTGAAACCAACAAGAGGTAAATTACTTCAGTCCAAGGATGAAACATGGTTTTTCCCTGTAATGGAGAAACAAAAAGTTAAGTTTAGCAAAAACGTTCAAGGCCGAACACTTCACAAGATTTAAAAAAAAATTACGACTGCATCATGTTGGCTTCACCGTAATATCTTTGAACAAGTATGAGAGTCTTTTCCTTGTACGTAAAAATTAAAGGTCACTAAATATTTAAATTGATGTGCAGCAAAAGGATATGCTTTGTTTCTTAACATGACAGTTCTTGTCATTCCCTACATGTTAATATTTTATACTTCAAAATGTTTCTTCGTTGAGGTAACTTGAAAGTTACCTAGTCTGCGAAAATTCTACAAACACAATGTTAAGGGGAAGCTGAGGGGTGCTTTAGATTGAACAAACAGAAAAAAATTGTACTGTAGATACCTTAAAAATTATGGGTGATAAATTTTATTTCGATCGTAATAATAGGAGCATCGCAATAGCTATATAAAAAGTTTCACGTAGACCCGCCCGTTTCGATGCGTTAAGGGTCGGAAAGCGCAAGAGCAGAGAAAATCAGAATTGCAGAGGTGACGTTATCAGTGGGGTCAGATGACCCTTGCTCGCCACTAAGCTGTCTCGGGGATGTCGTCGATGACGTCACGATGTTCTGGACAGATAACAGGCGGCCGAGAGGATAACCGCATGCCCGGCGGCAAAATGCTGCACATATTTATCAGAATAAATGCGGTTTACGATTACTTCTGCCCACGGTAAGTTCGATAACTGAAATTTTGGGGCAGAAACACATAGAAGTCAGCTCCTAACTCAGATTTCTTGAGAAGTGGTTCAGCTTCAGTTTAAGTCATGTCTTAATATTGCAGAACAAAGCCATACTAAACGGATCTAATATTCGTTTTACATGGGCCATTTTATCTATTGTTATATAGAATAAGAGTTAGTGCCCCCGATTACGATAAGACTCAAATGAAGTGAGATAGTCCACAGCAGGTCCAATTTTTCTCAGTAGAAACCAAAACATAACAATATGGAAGGGCATGATTGTGATTGCTGCTAGACTGAAGTGATTATAGTCACACGTTGTATTGCTTAGAGGAGTTTGACACGAGATAAGATATTTTTGTTATTTTACAGAGTAATCAAGCGAAAATAAAAAGGCTGCAACAAATTCAAGCAAGAGAGGGAGAAAGAGGCAGCGAGCTAAACCCAGTGTATCATCTACACCACGAATGCTGCTAACACAGCGCAGATATGGCCGATAAAAAGTACTACTAGTCAAAAGGCCAAACAGTGACGTGACAGCCGAGAAAATATGTTCAGCAAATTAAGAGATCCTCCAAATCATGATATAAGATATGGATCAAAAGATCCTATCACTCAATTGGTGACGTGAGGGATCAAAAACGTAGATGTGATCGGCCGGCCACGACTGTCCCAATGATGGCTATGACGTCAGCTAAGGGTTTATCATCCATGGAAGTCAAAGGAATGGAAGAATTTCATTTTTCACCGTGTTGGCATGCTTTTCTTCAGAGCGCAATGACTTCAAGCGTCCACCATGCTAATTACAAACACCATCGAAATAGTTGTTCGCAAAGTAATGGTGCCACGAGAGACAACCATAGCAGGGCGCCTCAAAAACCTATCGACACCAGTAGTGGTTCAAACGCAAACTCCCTCGAGCACTTGCCGTGCCTGAAATAAGTTATCTACGAGTAAACGCCGTTTAGTCAAAAAAATATTTTTTTTATCAATTTTGTTTTATGAAAATTTTTTTTGACATCAGGGTTGCGGTAGGACGCTATTTTGAGTTCAGAACTACGATGTTCGCGTTAAAACACCGGTAGACAAACATTTTTTCCGAAACTCGTTGTGCGCATGTGCTTGCGGTGTGCGTGCGTGTTTGCCTGTGCGTACGTGTGCGTGAGCGCGGGCAATCGTGTGTTTGTATTTGCCTCTAGTCTTGAGATAGTGTGGGGTAGTTTTTTTATAGTGATTCGGTTCCAAACAAATCGAACATTTTAAAGCATATAAGTACCACTAATAGGTTCACCAACTGATTAAAGTTTTTTTCCCTTCAAAGTATATAGTTCCCTTTTATCACTACTAGAGCTGCGAATACCGGGACAACAATATTAATGAGACCGGTACAAAATCTCGACAGAAAATATCAACAAATCTGTGCACTTTCAGAGAAAATTTGTGCTTTCAGTAATACGCTCAAAATGTTTTATTAGGTGATAATATTACCTCTGCTCTTTATTACCAAAACACACGTTCTATTTTTTTCGCAATAAAGATTAACACCAAAATCTTAGAAGTCGATTTCTTTTTTTTCTTTTTTAGACTGTGCCTTTTTGGTGTTAAGACATACTTTAAGTAAAAAACACGATTGCTTCACTTCTTGCCATTTGAGCACCATTGTGTTATTAATGCGTGGTCGTCCTACAAAGTGCGTTGGTCATTGTACAAATAATAGGTCTGACGAATGCACGATCGTCAACAAACAAGCGCAGTGAGGATGTATGTTGACTATTAATTTACAGATAATAATAAAAGATAATCATTGACCGTTCTCTGCGTGACGCCAGGCGTTACCGTGCAGGTCTGATATTTCATGTTCTGATAAAAGAATGGTGTGATTAATAGAGAATTCAGAGATCCAGTTGACAACAACGTGATGAATCGTGGTATTTTGGTATGTTTTATTAAACTCATTGAGGAGAGACCTGGTCGAATAACTTAGGGGTGTAACTGAAAATATGGCAAGTTGAAGCATTGCAATCGAAACATCAATAAGTCCCCGAAAAAACATTACGCTGACTTTGAATTCGTATAACTAGGGAAATCCATTTCAATATTCAAATACAAGGTTCTGTGAGTGTAAGAAGTTCACTATGCGTTATTAAAGTACAACATTGCAAGGTTTAGACGTGGTCCGTAATTTGTCTTGCATAAAAATATATTATTGTGAATTTTTATAATTTGGTTTGCGTGTTGTAAATTGTCTATAAATTAACTGAAAAAATAACAACGTGCCTGTTTTACTGTGAAATTGGCGGTGTGCAAATTACCACAGTGAAATCTCGGCAGCGTCCACGCTTTGAACTTCTCAATTTTATATTTCTGGGAAAACATTTGCAACGGCGTTCACATATGGCTGAATGTTTCTCCGAAGAAAATGACTTTCACATATATTTCACCGTAATATCAAAGACATGACCCGGACAGGCATTCTACGATCTGTCGTGGAAACATCAACAACGCATGTCATTTCAAGTGGTGGGAAGAGATTCTACATATATCGCTGTAGAAAAATGCCGTAGCTATGTGGTAACCCGCCTGCTTCAAACGCAGCGGACCCAGGATCGAATTCCTAAATCGGCCGCCGATCTTTTTCAAGCAGTTGGTAACACGGGACCAAGCCAGAGGCAGTAGAGCCTGGAAACGGAAAGCCGCCGGGTGACAGACCCAAGCTCTTTGAGACTCCACGAGACCTTTGCCGCCGGCTCCATCGAAGTCCCACACCTCCGCTGAAGTCTGGTGTGCATGTTGTCGGAGCACCTCTCAAGACATGGTGGCGCTGTCTTCCCGAACACGCCACCACGGGGCGTCCATGCAGCCATGCCTCAACACTATTTTGTCGTCGATAGTACCCAGGGCGCCCACCAAATCAACGATGCGATATGTGTCTAAGCGAGCTCTCGCTTATTTTAGTATTACCTCTCAAATTGTGTAGAGCTACATCTAGCTCTCCCCGCAAGGTCACCTCAGATCGCTGACTGACTCGCCTCAACCGTCCCCGAACTTCCGAAACTCGGTTAGCGGTTTTCGCTACAATCAGAACAAGTAGTCCTTCTCTTGTATTATATAATATAACAAATTTACAATCACTGGACGAGGCACCGCGGTACCCCATGGTACAAAATGTTGCCTTCCTGCAGAGCCGCGACTCTTATGAGTCAATAGGGATTTTTTAAAATTATTTTATTATTAAAAGTTTTAGTATTAATGTTAATAAATATTAAACTGTTCCAACACCTAATTTCTGTACATTTTTATGACCTTATTTTCTTAATTGTGTTAATTGAGAGTGTTTTCTTTTTCTGTGAAAAAGGCCTCCTCCTTCATTACGAGAATCGCATCTTCGATTGTATTTAAATAACAACTTTGAGCCTCACGGTCATAACACCTAGCCACTTACGTTACAAATCGCACCTAGATTGAAGTGGTTAATTGTGATTGCAGTATATTGGGGGGGGGGGGGGGCAGTTAATCGGGAAAGCGACTTTCGCATGTGACCACATCAAAATTATGCACCCTTTTCCTGTGTGCTCCAAACTATTACGCACCAAATTCATGGCTTGATGTGATGCGAGCCTCCTTCAGTACAGTGGTTTCGTGCTCCTTCAAAAACAAAGTGGTGAGATTACTGATAAAATGTGGTTTATATAGAGGACCTTCTTGACAATCGTTCTATGAGATGTCTGTATAAGAAAGTATTCCGAGAAAGAGCTGTGAGAGCCCTTGGCCTTTTAAATCGTGCTATAACGCATTTCAATTTTTGAAACTTGTACCACAACGGCAGGTGTTTTAGTGACATTTCACTAGGGACTGAACTTTAAAAACAACATTTCAGTTGTTTTTCAGCGCTCGTCAAAGTCAACTTGAAAACCTTATACGCCTTTTCGTTGTTTTCTTGTGGTCCAAAAATAAGCTGCGTATTCGAAATATTATGCGTTGGCGATATCTTCTCTTCGAGAAAAACACACGAACAATACACATATTAAAAGCTTTCCTGATAAGATAATTATATTTTTGTTTATCAGATGCTGCCGTCAATTGCGGACTATTGTTTCGATACATTTGCGTATCTGTACACTATTACATATTCCCTCGAGTGCAGCTGGCCAAGCAGGGAGCGCGCTCGTGGCCTAGCGGTTATCGCGCTTACCTTCCACGCAAAAAGCCAAGGTTCGATCCGTGGCCGCGGATACAGATTTCTTGTTTGACTCTGTATTGTGAGGTTCTGGTAAA